CACAGCAGATTCTAATTTAACCAGACAGTCGTGGAAAAGAGCCTTTTAAGTCAAACTGTTTAAGCAGAGCACTGCTGTTACTTCGTGTTATAAAAATTATATTTATCAATGCAATTTTATGCGATCTTTTTAGCTTCGATCAGTAAGGTGCCGTCTCTTCGCAGGTGCGACTTCAAAGTCGATGTATCCACGTCTTCCGGCAAATGGTACGCCCTGTGAAATTCGCGTCGGATCGAACCGTACGAATCCTCCGTTTGTTCGTGTTTACAATGAACCCACAGTTCATGGCCAAGGCATTTGATCTAGCAAAAACAGTGTTACGCGGAATCCATTTTAATACGCAGAAAATACGATAGGTTCTAGTCAGATCTAGTAGGAGGCTTGTCACCATATTGAATCTGTTGTAGCGTTTCGGTTTGTTTCGTGCCACGAACCTCTAGGTAGAAGTGGGCAATCCAAGTTGATCTTCGCATCACGTCTGACTTCATTGTGAGTCCAGAAGTTTCGCTGTTTAATAACTTAACTGATATCATGGTCGTGCATTAGCCATCAGTCCAGATGTAATACTTCTGGCAAATGACGTATATGCATATGATGTTTAGATGCGTTTTGGAATGCGCAAGCGAGAGAACAATGCATAAAATGTCAGTGCAGTCTTACCGGCATAAAAACGTCACGTCACCTTTCAAATCCCGTTTGCATTGGTCAGCAAGTCCTGTGGCGTCAGTAGGATTGGATTGGAGTCATTTCGATCAACCGTATTATTCGACCCGCCGTACTACATATCATTGAGAAGCACTCTGAGCACAATACGAAACTTCTGTCAAACTATTAAATTTATTTTTTCGCTTATTTTATGATTCCATTTTTCTGACTACAAAATCTCGTTAATTCAGCGTGCAGCGTCCGGGCGTGAGTTTGACTGTATGTATCAGCAGATGTTTCCAACTGTACCGTTTATGACTTATTTATTTGCATAAATGAGTCAATACTAAAAGTCTGTGAAATAAGTGAATTTCAAGGTTTACTTTTTGTTTCATGAGGGCAAGATTTCGCCAATTGATTTGCCTAACTCGACTTCGCTAATAAATTCGGTCAGGCTTAAAACCGTTTCGAAAAAGAAAGTTCAGAACAGTGTCGAATAGCAAAGGCGAATTCTACCTTCCTGGCGAACTCCACACTTAACGGTGAACTACTCATAGAGCTCTGCTTGAAATTTGTTGAAGCTATTGCACCGAATGACACATGAGTTACGTGAATCATAAGTCAGCAGAACTTACGAATCTGATAAACTCATGTCAGCGAATTGCAGAGACGGATTTAAAGATCTATTTTTAATTGTCCGCTTTTTCAAGCAAAATGGAAAGCTGACTCATGCCAGCTGCCTCGTTCAGAGTAAAGCTGCAGAGTTAGTTCTTGTGGTTCTCTTTCGAAACTCGGCTCTCAACGATCAAGTTCTAGCAATCGAGAAATTAAGTCAACAGCCTCATTAAATGGAATGAAATTTTTCAAAATAGACGTACAACCTTTAAATTAATAAGCGCATGTTCCATAACACTGAAGAATCATATTATTTTAGGCTTAAACCATGAAATGCTTTCATTCGTGCAAGCAAACGCATAACACCCAAAGGACAAAATTTCGGTGTTTCTGCGTTCCTCACTCCCTGACGAATTGAGTGAGAATTTTAGGCACATGGGCGCAGCCGATCACTCTTATAAAGCAGACCGTAATTACTCAGTCGATAGAGCGTTAGACTAAGGGGCGAAAGCTTGCAGGTTCGAGCCCCGGTCGATTCTCTCGCCTGTCCTCGTTCCAAGATCAATAAATGAGTGCCGATCTGTAGCAAGGAAACAGGTCACTGTGCATTATGTCCGTCACATGACCACTGTCGACTGCATTAAGACCAGGTACTCCTAGCTGGTTGCATGGATGAGGAGATTAGAACCCAAAAATTTATTGCATGGAAAGAATGGTGCCAGAATCAGTCAAATCATGAAAATGCAAGTTCAAATTCCTTTCCTTGCTTCCTGACAAATCATACCCATTGGCAAGCATTCAGCAGACTGGCCTGCGCCTGTCTTCATGTTGCAACTTCTGCCAAAGTATAACTGACAAGGTCGTCAGTGTCCTATTTATTTCTCTACGGTTTGTCCACCTACGTTAAGATACCATCAGTCCAGGCTCTTGTCATTTTAGTAAGCGATATCTGCAGGTTTCTGTCAAGCACGCACTGCTGCATTTTGCTTACTGCCCAAATACTATACTCCCTCACCACTGGCCAACCGCTACTGTCACACAAAAGCATGTTTTAAGCCATCTCTAGATTCAACGTTTAACTCATCCAACGGTAGATGCAGTATACTCGCTTATATACTCCGTAAGGACGAAACTGAAATGAATTCTAACAAGGATCACAGGATAATTCACTGTATAACTCCTCCAAGATCATATTGCACTGCCCCCTTTGCTAACAGTTTCCTAGGACATCAACAAGGATCCGAGTATGTAATCTCTTGGACGTCCGGCCTGTTACTAGAGAGCAAATCATTTTATGGGTAATGATATCATCGAAATCATGGGTAATGGGTAACGATATCATGGGCAATTTATGGGTAATGATATCATCGGTATGAGAAAAATGATATTTGTCTTCATTGGCAAAAAACCTTACTTTTGGTTCAGTACTGAGGAAACAAGAAAAGAGTTCTAAAACGTGATTATCTCAGGTTGTCGGT